TAACTGGAAATGAGAACGAACTTGAAATACTTTTGCGAAGGTTGGTTCTTCGTAAAAACGGAGGAAGCCTCACAAAGAATTAACCCCGCGTCAAGTAACGTGAGTTCTTCCATAAAAACGTGTTACAATTACAACATCATTGTGAAGTTAAAGGCGAGCAATCTTTGTTAAACTTGATGAATTTTCATTTGATTTTTCATAAGATTCTTTTACTTCATCCAACAATGATTCATTAAGCTTGAGAAAATTATCGCGTAATGATTTACTCGCGGATCGATTAACATTAAAATTGTATTGTACTGTTATGACAACTCTTAGTGGTACCTTTATTGCGAGTTATCTCTAATTAAAGTGCGTCTAATATTTTCGAACAAAACAAGTCATTAAAAATGGTAGTCACCTTATCAGCACGCAACGTAAAGCCTGTGGACTCTGCAGTCTTTGGGTGCAGCTTCGATTACTCAAGACAAGATATGAAAGGAGGAAAACGTTCTGCAGAATATTTTTTGTGTTAGAGATAACATACGCTCCAAGCCATGTGTGTACAGTCGATTATTATTATCGAAATGGTGTTCCTCAAGGTATGATTTTGGGTCCTGAATAAAATCTATAACTGAATTCAATCAATTTAAATCAATTTTCAATATTGATCTGTATATAGTAGGAATATTATGGTCTCTTATTTAAAAGCATTACTTAATTAACAGTAATTGTCAGGTTAACAGTTTCGGCGGTCGATCACACAGCGCGCTGACTAAGGACGTGACGTGTGTGTTATATTAACAGTCAAATTTGAATTTATATAGGTAACATTGCTACGTCATGCATGCACGACTACGTTTCGATTTATGTAGCAGTAATTACAGGGGTTGAAGCGAAAGTGAAGGGCTTTAATTAAACTATCAAAGCAGCATTAAATATTATTGTTAGAATAAGGGAGATCTAGATTTAAATGTATTATTAGGATTTTATTTGTACAAAGTTTTAAGTTTTCCATTAACAAGGTTTATTGTAAGAGGGTTTTAACTTGGTGGTCTCTAATTAGGATACGTCACCCCATCTCTTCCCTGGCGAGGGGCGACTGCAGGATTATAATGAGGGGAGAACGGGTTAAATTCACTTTTCGCTACATGAAAGGTGATATACGCTAGAGTAGTCGCGTCAACGTCCGCTAAGTTGTAAATTATAGAACAGTACGCTTTGGTCTCCAGCTTTAAGAGAAAGTTTAGTTTTCCAATATACAATACGAACGAAAACATTTTTAATCAAGTTTTATTTTCCTTTTCATTTTATACAGGCGACATCTGGTAGTACCATCGAGTCCTCAGATCTAACCCTCTAGATCGCCTAAGGCCACTTGTGTTAGCGATTAATAATGACCTAGCCTTTGGTGTCGGGCCCAAAACCTCAGGTGATCAAAATAAATGTTTTACGAAAAACTTTTTATTCTATGCATCATTTGTTTAACATAAATTGTAATCATTTATTCTCAATCAATGTAGAAAAAGTATCGGACCATGGATATTATGTTATCATACATTATGTGGTCAATATGAATCGTTCCGGTGCAAACAGCTTAAACATTGATTGTAACATGTTATTTTTGGTAAAAATGTATAAAAAGTTCACATTGTATTTGTTAAAAGTAGAATGTAATACAATAAAAGAATCTGAAATACAAAGAGTTCCAATTCTTGTATCGTTATAAAACATTGTACATACTTAGAAAGTAGATGACCATAAAAATTATGAAGCAATTGACCTAGTCTGATGACTGTTTACTAGCAAATATTTCGAGTTTAGATTCATAAAATAAATCCAATTATCCTGATGATAAAGACGCTAATGATTAAAACCGTATTTGGATTATTTACAACTACGAATTTATGACCTAAAAAGTCACCATTATAAGCGTAAAATGTAAAATCGACACAAATAATAATATGCGTCGCATTTTCCATCTATCTGGAAAACATACGTTATCATACGCAAACGCATTACGTGAAAACCAGAAATAAAACGTATTATCGATTGTACGTAGTGCAAACATGTTTTTTCTGAATCTACGTAGATAAAAAAAAAACGAAATGCATTCGTCATTTTGTTTTCGAATTCCGGCTACATTTAGATAACCCGGGTTCATTATCTCGGCGCGACACGTGTAAATTTTGGAGGCCAAATTTTTTTTTTGTTTTCATTTTTACACCCAGATATACAGAAATAAAATGCACTTGTTGTGTCGTATATTTTGCGAAGTTTTTTTTTTCGTCTACACGTGCAGTTGATATACGAGATGGGTTGTCAGGAAAATAGCTTTTGGCTAGCCTCGTGTATTTAAAATGTCTGCACGCAGTCACAGGGTTGACTACGAAAGATAGATTTTAATAAAATTTGTTTTCTGTGGAAAATGTAATTTACAATAAATAGGGAAACCTTAATGAAAAATATTCACATACTTCCTCGTATCTGATAAGATTAAATCGTATATGCGCGTGTAAAGTTTTAGGAATTCTGCAATAATTTACAAAGTGTTATTTATAGCAATCGATGTATTTTGAGCGTTACGAACAATCTTGACTACTACAAATATTTTCGTATTGAATCCAACATGTTTTGGATTTACATAAATATATGTAGGTATCTCATAAATCGAACGATGCTTCTGTTTCATTCTCGTTACATATGAATTTTGATTGAATTTATATCATGCAACATAAACCAAAATCAATTATTCTTAACTTCATTAATTAAACTTCAACTTTAATTACATTAAAATGAAAAATAAAATGAAAATATATAAATCGTAATTATCTAAAAAACTCAAAAAAAAAAAGAAATTCTATGAAACGCTAAACAAAGGAAAAGTATCAAAATTATTGTAACTAAATAATAATACGAAAAATATCATGAACGAATCCACAAAAAGTGACAATATGCAGCAGTCTGGCGACAGAAAAAAAAATTGATAATAATATGTAACGCAAACATTGCCAAAAAAATTTATATAGAGGCAATTTATCGCACGACGGTGTCAACGACCTGTTTATCGCTATAGCAAGATTTCGCGGACATGCACGCCTGTACGACATTATGTAGGTAGGCACTAAGTGATAAAAAAGTGATAATAAAATTTGCAATATTACGAAATATGTACAAATGTATAATGGTACCGCTGATACAGAGACCTTCGCAGACTTTAATGTATATAACAATTTACTAAACGAAAATATACATGACATATACGTATATTTTGCTTCCTATTTTATTTTGTTGTTATTTATATTTATTATATACCCGAATAACACAATTCTTTAAGAAGGATACATTATTAACAGGGACATGTAAATAGACTGGCCGCTTTTTGAAGATTGTTTCCATGCCAACAAAACGTAGGGAGCTGATAGAAAGAGAAAGAAAATAGAAAAATTGAAAATGAATTCAATAAATCCGAAACCTTACGGAATAACCATCGATAATAAATAATATACCAACAAAACCAAATTAGCACTTATAGTTATTACTAGTTAAGCAACATTCTGTAACTATACGTATGCTTTAACTGATGTACTAGTTGAGAAATTCACGGAAAAATGAACTGAAGATTTGAAAACGGTGACGCAGATTGATCGAGTAGTGTAACAAAGTACTAACGACGTGAAAACCTACGCACGTAGTAACCTATTTACCTCGGATGAGTTACTACATAAATAGGAGATAAGATACTGATTAAAACCTCTTTGCAAAATCAGGAGGATGAATAAAAAAACAGTAGATTCCTGAATAATGACTGTTACACACATTTGGTGAACACGTTTTCAAATGAAACAACTGATGATAAGTACAAAAATAAAAAACATTTTCAACCAATACACCCATTTCATAAATGACTAAATACCTCATAATAGAGATTCATGCACTGCCATTCATAAAATGGCCGAGCTATAAATCTTGATAATTTTCGCAGCAAAAATAAATCGAAATGTCAAGGCCAAAACATTTTCCAGTTATAACAAGCAGAGATGATCAATATTCTCTTAATTATGAAGATCATCCTCCGAGAGATTCATAAAAATCGAGCTGGCTTCATTTTATACGATAATTAGTCATAATTCGATCGTTTGACATTCGAGTAAGTTACAGCTGGAAAGTTTACAATCTTCTGGTCGTAAATTAAACAGCTTGCTTAGCAACAAATTGACTAGATAAAAATGTAGATGAATTTTTTTTTCGGTACGCAAAATGTTGCCGGAATCGATTCATAACTTAAGAATTTCTAGCTGTACTTTTTACATCTTGTGGTTTTGTTTCTAACTGAATTGAATTATGTTCAAAGGTATTTAAACATTCATCGAAAAACGCTAATTTAATAGCTTCTAAGAAATTGTTAATACGTGAATAAGGAAAGCAATTCAATGTTAAAAGGAGCACATTCTTACTAACAAAACAAATACTTTGAAAACGATTAATTAAACATGTGCTTTCTAATACTGCTATAAATAAAACCTATATTATTAAACATTTCGTACATAACACAACAAATATAATAAACATTTCATTTCTTCCCTTCAAATATTTTTTGTCGTCAGCATTGTTCATTGCAAAAAGGCAACATATCCGCGTTTTCTTGCAAATTTATTCAAATTAACTCTTATGTCCTTAACATAAGAGTGAAGGCCTCGGTACGAATAGGCTGAGGTAATTAGCAAGGCAGTGACATTTTTTTGTTAGCAACGCACAAAAATTTTAGGCAACATAGGCCTCAACTTTTCGGAATTGCAAAAAGAGGATGCATGATAACAGTACCTATGATTTGTTAAACAATCGATTTTAGGATTGGACCGAAACTTACTAAAACCACTAACGACCTAACCAAAGCATAAAAAGAAATATAAATCTGCAGAGCTATGATAAAAAATACCATAAAAGTTGTTTCATGTTTTCCAACTACATGAAAAAATAGGTCTTATTGCAGATAATTAAAAGGTGCAAGGTCCACCTACCTTCGCAATACAGAGTGACATCGGCGAGGCTCTCTGAATTCCACAAATTCGCAAACGAAGTGGCCAGGTTTGAACCGAAGCTGTTCCATTTTAGGCAGTACTGTTGCTGCTGGGAGTCCATACCCGGGCCGCCTCTTATTCCTGCCCTGTAAAAGAAAAGTCACGTCAGTATATGATATTAAAACTATATAAATATAATTACAAACTATGACCTATAGTCTCCTTGTTTGATAAATGGTCTATCCAATTCAAAAAGTTTTTTATATTTGGCCCAGTAGTTTCAAAGATAGCCGAGCCCGAATAAATAAACTATTAACTTTATAATATTTATTTAAACAAAATGTGTCAGTATTAGCCAATAGATCATTCACCCAAACATATTAGTCAACATCCGACACAAAATATTTATAAAATAGGTATAGGAAGGAAATCCGGAGATAGTACTATAAAAGTAGGTACTCGGATTAAATTTAATTTAATAAATTAAATAAACAAACCTCTTATGGACTATCCACTAGAAACAGAAGTGACAAAAATTAACAACCGAACAATAAGTGAAATAGAAATTAATACCATAAACGAACAAATATCTTTGGGTAAAAATCAGAGCAACACAAAACTTATTAATCATTATTATAACTAGAATAAAGCTAAATATTCAACAGAACAACCTAGTTTCGATTCACGAACCACTGAAAGTTTCGACAACAGTTAGCCTCTTTATTTCCTAACGAGTGAAACTTAACGTCAAAAATACTAATAAAATAAGGGGTTATTTCTATAATTTCATTGTTCGGGGCTCGGTTGGGCTGTTCGAAGGTCGAAGGGTGAACAACCGATGCATGATCGATGCCGCCCGCCCGTTGAATACGTAATTCCCTGGATTCCCACGGCTGGGCTCCGGGTAATGTTGAAGGAAGGAATTTATTGAGGGCTATTGTGTGCTATGGGAGTTTACCTACATACCCCATAGCATTTTTGTCTTTATCTGGCACATAATGATTTGTTCCTTTTGTATTGTCATTCTCTTTAATAGGAAATAAAATATATAATTAAAATTGTTGTCATATTCTTCTAATACATACATATTTCAAATGATAACAATATCTGCTTTGTTATCTATAAATATCAATAAAGTTAAATCTAAGTTTAAAGCTTCCTCATCAGCTATAAGATAAGATTTACTTAATTCAGATGCCATTTGTAATTTAAAAAAAATATTATTCTTATTTCAAATTCGGAATATACAAATTAAAACTACAAGGTAAACAAGCTGACGCAGAAATCAAAAAAGAGAATTCACAAATTAAAAACACATTGTGAATCATAAACATTCTTGCTATTCTGAAAGTCCTCACATTATATAGGATGGTTCTATATTGTATTTCCCGATAAAACTACGTCATCGAGCTCCACATACAGATGCATATGTACGACAAACTATAAAGCTTGCGCTGCATCTATGTAAGTGTTCAACGATTATTGATTGACCCGTTAACCTGTTTCCACGCAAGTGCTATGCTTCAAACCTACTGTTAATTAATAATGGCGTTGTATAATTCAAGACTTTTGTTTCCTCGTCACGTGTCCGTAATTACTGTTGTCCGGCTTTCAGTTTCACCTTAGAAAATGTTATCGTATTCTAGATTGATTTTCAAATAAGAAATGGTTGTAAAACTTACAAACGGGGACGTAGTTAGTTCTTAAAATACAGAACCTGTTGACTGTGAATTCGTTTGCGACAATTCACGGCTCGCACTCACGTGCTACGCCAAGGCCGAAATAAGCCAGTTAATAAATGCAAACCAATTGATGATATGATCAGTGATACAACACTAGAACAAATCGCTACAAAGTTAAGAGAAGAAAAAGATTTAAAAAATAATGTATATGATAATACTTGCGGAAATACAAATTAGGTTAGCTTAAACACTTAACTTGACAATAAAAAGATAAAACCCATTACTGACCAAGAATTAGACCCATATTCAGGCTAAACTAAGTACTGAAAGCCATATCCTAGAGGGTTGTCCCAAAGTGTTATTAATACGAGCGCAAAAGTTGTAAAATTTAATATACAAATGGATTCAAAACGTGGGGATACCACCCTTTTAGGTGATAAGGATTTAGTTCAATTTTTAATGGGGATTAGTTAATTGTTAAAAGATAAGCTTAGTGATGAAACTAGATATTTGGAGCATAAAGCCAAATGATAGAATAATAATTGCGTTGTTGACTTAATAATGTATTTTAATCAAAACAAGAAAACTTCCGCGTGTAACAACACGTGTATAGTTCCAGGAAGAATAAAAATGTAACTAGGCAGCCATGGAAAAATATTCAGCAAACTATCAATAGTTAATTTTATTTAAATATTAATTTAATTAATCGTAGAAGGAAAACCTACCAAACATAAAAAGGGTCGCACATTAAGTACGACATGAAACGAATTGTATCAAAGCGAATCTCTAAAATCAGCGCCAAAGTTTCTACAAGTCAACCTCTTCCCAAATAAGCTACACGACACGTTACGTCAAATCTATTTGACACTAATTTATCATTCGCTGTAAGTACCTCGGCTTCTTGTGTTTTTTATTCATCTTCTCTCTCTTCGTCTTCTTGTATTTTGCGAGATCACAGAATGAATATTTCAGTTTGAAGTTATTCAATTCCCTAGCTCACAAAGAGTCTTAGGTTTGATATTAACGTCACACAAATTTGTCGTTGAAAGACTTCAAAGTTTCTTTTCCTACTTCAGTGGAATGTACAATACGATGTTTCACATTAGCATAATTAGGCAGTCACCGAGCCGTGATCCGTTTACTAAACAATGTGCGGTTCAGTAGTCACCTTCGCGAAACACTCCCGCACCCTTTACCCGAGAGATCCAGGCAGGTTATAACGAGCGTCTAACAAAGGTACGCACACTGCACCGACAGCCAATACGTTATCGATTCGATTCCCATCAGCTCCGTTACAGCCTAACTGTATATTTGCATGCGTGCAGCACACTGAGCCAGTTAACTTTGAACCACGATGACTCCATTAGAGTCCCCTTTTTGGTGCAATTGTAGGCGTACGCGAGGCGAGAGGTAGGCCTAGATAGACTGGCCGAAGTAGAATTTCGGTTGCGACCCGGTTCCGGCATGCAGCACACGCGCAAGCGTACTAGCTGCGAGGCGGCGGAGGCGCGCGGGGAGCGGCTGCACCGAGTTGCGCAAACTGACGCAGCGGTCACTCTGCAGCCGCGCACACTAATTGAAATCGAGTGACATCAGAATAAGAACGATAATGGCCCTTATACACCTCGATGACCTATTAACATCTTTCCAAGCTCTATTTCCAAATATTGATTTCCAGTAACTGTTGCTTTACCCGATGCTTATGTATGCCACTTCCCGTAACTAGATTAAACATGAAGTAAACAATACAATTTTACGTAAGTAACAAACAATAGTGTAAGTATCGTTACAAACACTTGAGATTCCACTAGTTGCATGTGGAGCAACTAGTGAAATGCAAATCGGCGCTAATTCAGGACCATCAAAGTAAAGTCTAGTTATATAAATCCGTCGATCTACATTAATTTATGGCTTTATTACTGACCTAATTTAAATGTGTATTACTCAAGCTAAAACGATTTATGAGGAAGATCACACGTGAAATATAATTAGAATAATTCATCAATATTAATAATCATTCGACCATAGTTCCATAATCAAAATAAACTAGGTAAGTACATAGATTCATTAAAAATACTACATTATTACCGTTTGCGAGGATGCGGCATGTAGGTCTTCATTCTGACTTCTAAATTCGAAAATTGAATTGGAACGAGTACGCGGCTGCTATGATTTGACTGTGTGCAGCGGTCGGGCCCCTAACGGTGCTCAGACAAAGGCCTGCATCGAGCGGCTCGCAACTATTGCACTGACTTCCCTGCGCCCTTCGCCCCGCACCCCGCTCCCCTCACCTCCATAACTATATACCTATCTGACAAATGTATAGAACACACTGAAAATTGCTACGCGGGCGCTACGAACGGCTATTATTGGAAACTCGTGTTGAGAGCGTTCGAATACAACTTAGACTTTAGGAATTGACAGTTTAAACATTTTGGCGTATCCTTTGTGGCGTTTAATTGAAGTAGGTAATGAATTCAACGTTTTAATTGGGAAAATTATTTCGTAACATATTAAAGAGTTTATTTATTGGAAAATGTGAAATTATTAATAGAACACGTGAAGGTAAAATTATGAAAATACCAAGAATAATCTACATGAATCAACTGTATCATACCACACATCGTACGGTGCACAATCGTACAAATATCTAGTCAGAAACACAATTGCGGCACTTAAAACTTCCTCATAGAATGCCCAGCTTTCTAGGTCAAATGGGTTGGACGACAGTAGAAAATGCATTTAGTTGTAAAGCTAGCTACACACTGGCGAAACGCTACGGTGCGGATCCGTGTTTATTGACCACAACTAGACTTCGTATTGCGGTTACGAGTTTTAGTGCTTTAAAACCGACTTTTGGCCACTACAATTCGTTTGTTTATTTACACAGTCAGATTTCATAATAAATGCGATTATTTTAACGTAATACCTAAATAAAGTTGATTTATCTATAATACAAAAGAAAACTAAAGACGAATAATAACGTATGAAAAGACAATAACAACGCATTTCTTCAAACAAAAATCGATCCATGACTAATGTATACTTAAATAATGAATAATCGCTAACCAAAACGGGCACCCGGATATCCAAATCACCATTTAAATAAAAATTATATACGACACGTGCTTGCATTGAAAGGCAGCGGCGCCATGACATAAAAATAAATAATATTATCTATTAATATCACCATTGTCATAACTTCGTACGACACCTAAAGGAGTTTCATTCATTATAACCTGGCTGAATAAATTATATATCAACATTAAAACATTTAAAATTAAGAACACTGTTACATTAGAATAAATTTAAAACTAAACAAAGCTCTTCGTGAAGTTTAAAATTGTAATTCTCACAGAAAACAATCATTATCTTGGTTACAAAATATCGTATCCGAGGCGTGACGATGCCATCACGAGTCTATGGTACTTGCAGGGAAAGAAGCGCTGCATCGTACGGTTTTC